ATCGTGTGCTGAGCTAATGCCAATTTTCTAATCCATACAGCCATTACAAACACACACTGTAGAGCAGAGGATGCTTATGGTGATGCAGTGATGGTAAAGTCTCATGCTTGTTTAATTTTTGCAAGAATGTCACACTTTTAGGGATAGACTAGAAACAGAAAATGCAAACCTGTGTGTAAATAGTACAGTACAAGGGAAACAAACTTTTGTTGGTTATTTTGCATGGCCAAGGTTTCACCCACAGGCTGTGGCAGAAATAGAAATAGCACTTGATTGTCCTATGTCCTACTTTTATCATCATAACACTGTTGTAAGAATTAATGAATGCAGGCTACAGCATGGTTTTTGTATGTCACCAGAAAACAGTTTTTGAAGTGGTTTATTTGATCATGGCATTGCAAGTCTATGGTAGTAATAGTTGTTTTTGAGTAAGGTTTATGGGTTCTTCTTTAGAGGGAGGAATTTCTATACACTCATTTAGTTGTAGCTCTGCCCTGATTGTAAGCTTTTGAGTCTCCAAACTGGTTGGTTAAATGTCAAAACTACTTTTGTTGCATCATTGCTGACTCCTCTTAGGTCAGCATTGTTATTAATAAATTAATTCTTCTCTGTATGTGTCAATGTGTGTTGTTGCATAGAAGTGTGGGCAGTCACTCCAAGCTGACTTCTATGGCTCTCTCAAAGTTTTCTCTCTCAAAGTGGTGGCAGAGGTAGCAAGCAAGCACATGCATGTTACACCCGTGTAAGGAACAATTGCTCTCATGTGCTCATGGCAACAGGTGTACTCATTAAGTAGCTCATTAGTTCATCTGAGGAGCTGTGAGGTAATTAATAAAAGTAATCTAGACACTTTCTTCTGTCTGTGGCCAGGAGACCACAGGCACCAAGGACTTCATGGGGAACACTTTCCTCTCGTGACCGTCCAGGTTGAGTTTGCCAACCAACGTGCATTTGGGAGGTGGAGAGGACAGTCACAGCTACAGCATGGCGTTGTTGTGGATGATGGCTGGAAAACATGGGCGATGCATCACTTGGACTTGGAGAAATGGACAGGTCAAAGGGAGTCAGGGCTGTTCTAAGGTCACCAAAGCTCTGCCTGCATAGCTGGCCATGAGCCTGCCCTTAAATTAGCCAATAGGTGACTGCACATTCCTGGTACTTTCCCAGCAGTTGTCTGAGCTAGTATTGGCCTCTGTGAGCAGCCACCTACTAAACAGTAAAAGAACAGATGAGAATGGCTTACAAGGGAATACAAGTGAGAATTCATAACCTCTGTCAATACGCATTGTGTTGCCCAGTCTTTCCAAATGCATCAGTGCAGCCCTTGGTGTTATGACTGTGTCTCATCTGCAGGTGCCTGACAGTTACCACACCCTGCCAGTGCTTTCACAAGAAGCATTTCCCTCCATTAACCTTTTACTGATGGTGGGTGGGACCAGAAGTTCTGCAAGAAAAGTTAAATATTGAGCCTTTCTTGTAGAAGCTGTAGCATAGGGTGTCCAAATGGCAGTGGTGTTAGTGAAGTCCCCTTGATTCACATCTGATCAGGTTTTATAATGTAAAAAAATTGTATTTGCTTCAAGGCTTCTTATTTGTTTCTCTCTTTGCATTGTTTTCAAGGCAGTTGGAAGACATGTCATGTGTCTGTTTCAGCTGTGTCTCTTGACTGCTGTCTTTTAGCAAACTGTGCCCAGGGGTGTCTATAAGGCAGCGTAAAGCAGTAGGACTGACCATTTGGAGTGTTAGAAGAAACTATTGGGAACATTGTTGCATGTTATGTTTTTCAGTCCATTTTTCTGGCATCTTTAGGTCAGGAGCTTGCTTATATTTGCTTGGAAAACACTGATGCAGATGTTTTATCCTTTGTCTAATAATAAGGAATGAGAACCTGTTCCGGTGCTAAAATAGTAAAAGAAAAAAGCCAACAACAAATCACTGAGTTGGGGAGGATTAACAAGCTTAGTGCTGGGGACTTGGCATAGCTGAGCTATAGAAATCTAATTTCCATGAAGGGAAAAGCAGCCAGACTGTCCTGACAACGTGGCAGAGGGCTGAGGAAAGAGGATTCTGTGGCATCCTCAGCTCACAGGAGTCTTACAGCATCAGTGTGCAGCAGGTTCAAATGTAGTAGCCCAGTGTCCAGCCGGGGAAACTGAGCTTGGTTTGCTTGACCCTGTTGCTGACAGCATGCTGTCTGGTGTCGTGGGGCTGGGGCAGTCTGTCCAGCTGGATACTTATTTTGCAGATAGCCTTCCTCCCGCCCTGCTTGATTTCCTCTTTAGTGGAGGGATGTAGGTGTTTCCAGGATTACTGTTGGCACTAAAATATATTAATGGAGTTCAGGTATCAACTTTTTTTGTGTGGCACTTTTCTTTGCTGTTGCAGCTCACTTTCTTCTGTTGATTATGATGAAATCCCTTTGGGAATCTGGTTCAGGGTGGAGGTGCTAGATGTGGTTGTAATTTACTTTTGTAGGAGAAATATGATACTTCGCAGTTTTCTTTTTCTTGGTAAAATTCTATGGTCTTGTGGAGTTTGGGTAGGGGCTTTTTGATAAACTGCTCCTCTTTACAATAGGTAAACTTAGGACTTGTCCAAAAGTACAGCAAGTGTTTCCAATACACTGTTGAGCTGGAGAAACTAATTTCTGTTATTTCTGTTGGGCTGGTTGAGGAGCTGATACAGAAAGCTGGAGAATATTCAGCTTTTCAGAACTTAAATGTAGAGAACTCTTCTACTGTTTTTGAGATCTTCTGCTTTTTGGCATCAGGAAACACTAGTTTCTTTCTAACATCTACATTTTGTGAAAGAAGTAGACTTCTGTCTTCCTGCTGCAACAGAAGAGCCAAAGAAACAAGGACTATTTAGGTGGGGGGTTTGTTTTATAGAGGGGCTGCTGATCCTTCCATGTGAAAATAGCCTTGGTATTAGATACCTCAATAATTGGACAAGGCATCTAATTTTAGCCACTTCTCTGCATGAAGGGTTAGTGTCCTGCCCTATGCAGCACTGTTCTGCTGACAGACTTTAACCTGCAGAGTTGATGACCTGGGGACACAAGCCAGTTGCTGTAATTGTTTATGAACCATCTTGTCCTGCCAGGGGAGGATAGGAAAGTCTTTGGCAATGGTCCTACCTGCTGAACCTTAGTGTGCTATCAAAATTGCTTCACTGCCCCTTTGATGATCCTGTCCTTCCTGTACCACACTGCTTTAGGTACTTCTAAGCAAGAGCTGAGGGCTGAACCTAGGATCTAAACTTAGGATTTAGTCTAGACTTCTATTGGATTTAATAACACTGGGTACTGGATTTTAATATGTGTTCTTTGTGGTAGGCATCAGAGCTACAGAAATTGTCCTGTGAGGGAGAAACAGTGGAGTTTCCCATGGGCCATGGGGAAGCAAATGTGAGGGTGTATGCAATTATCTCACCTCTCCAAGTGCAAACTCTGTGGTTCTTGTATAAAAGACTCAAAACCCAATTCTGGTTTTGTTTACACTAGTGTAAACTCAGATGGTGCTGGAGCATGTCACAGGCTGCCACTTGGGCCCTGCTCTTTCTCAGGTTCAGAAGCCTGTGTTTGCCTACTGCTTGTCTGTGAGTACATTTCGTAGTTTAAAACTCAATATGCCCACGATGCATTCAAAAAATCCACCGCTGCTCAACTTGCCAAGCAGTAAAATTAGGATTTATGAAGCAAACAGGCCCACAAAGTAAAAAAGCTCAAGATTTTTGTGATCTATATGAACTACTGTTGTATTGTTGGAGGGGTGTTGGTTCTAACTGCAGCCTGCAATGCCTCATATGCTTTATTTTAAATATAGACTTGATTTTAAATATAGGAAGTTCTTGATTATGTAAAATTTTATTTCAATCAAGTGTTTAGAAAACCATTATGTAGGTTATGAGTAGAACAGTTTTTAAACCTATGTCCCTGTGGCCATCTGTATGCTGTGGTTGTTGAGGCGGGAGGAAGGGTATTGGGTGGGGTGTTTTGTGGAGGAGTGGTTTGGGTTTTTTTAGTGTAACACAATAAAAGGACTTTTCAGTTGAGCAGCCATCTCCTTCTGCAGAGGAAACTTGCAGGTTAATGTTTATGCTTGTTTTAGTCATCAGAGGTGAAGTGCACAATAATGGCCAGCCCGTGTTTCTACAATTGGAGGATATTTCTCATGATGAAGGAAGTCTCCAAGGTCAGCAGCTACAATACCCGGAGAAGTTACATCACAAACATCACAGGCCCACAGCTGCACCAGGCTGCTCTCTCCCCACCCCTCCCCCCCGCCTTTTCTTTTTGTACACTCTCTCTCAGCTTAAGTGTTGCTCACACCTCTTGCAAGTATACCATGGATTTGATTTGGGCTTGTGTTTACTGGGTTATTTAGCTGTTAAACACCTTCCCCCCAAAAAAAACCCAAAACCAAACCTGAATGAGTGTTTTTGAAAAAATCTCACTATAGTTTTCTGATATCCTATACATTCCCAAATTCAGTTTGTCTACTTCTGGTTTTGCAGTGAGAATTATGTTGTACTGTGATGATAGTAGCAGCAGCAGCACCTCCTGGATCTAGTCTGGGCCTGTGCGTTTTACCTCTTGTCATGTGATGGGAGTGGGCATGACAGCTCACACCTCTCTGTTGAGCTGTGTATATGTGAAGAAGAAAACTTTGGGCTATTTTAGCAAAATCTGCGTGAGGGAAAAGATAAAAGGCTAGATCTTAATTTTTATAGGTCACTTGGTATCTCCCTTTATTATGCGAGTTAATCTTACTGGTACATGTTTTGGAAACTCCTGATACAATCTGTTTCTCTCTTGGTACTTTTTTGTGTGTGTGTTTCTATACATGATATTTCAGTGCAAGGACTGTCTTTTATAATCCTGCTTTTTTAAAGTAGTATTTTTCACCAGTGGTTCAGCTATTACCAAGCTCCTTACCAAATGACTATTAATCTAAATTCAGCTTGTCTTATAATGGCAAGAATAAGGACACTCCTTAGAAGCCTACCTGTTCATTTTATTTGTTTTCTAACCTCCTGGTGAGGTTTGCTGTTGTTCCATCAAAAGGACAGCACAGTGAGAGATTGCTCTGCGTACTCCTCATTGCTGCATACCTTATTCTGTTTATACCCAAAACTCTGACTCAGTACTGTTGATGTCAGCTCAGTCTTTCCCTGGCTTCAGGTTGTTCTGAATCAGTCTATAAACCTAAAATTCAAAGCTTCTTCTGACAAAGAAAACAAAACCTTTTTTCTTCAGTTCCCAACAGAACTTGTGTTGTGGTTTAAGCCTGTTGTTCACGTCTAATCATGTTCACCAGTGATCATTTCAAGCATCATATATTAGAGTGAAATTACCTAGTATTCAATATTTCCTTGATTGCGTTTGGTTCATCAACAATTACTGCATTTAAAAAGGGCGGTGGCGTTCTGCCGTCCCTGCTCCCTCGCTCTGCAATTGGGAAGGGTGGTTAGGAAGGGTTGTAAACGTCATCCAGGTAGCTAAGGTAATCCCTGGTATTTAAGGAGGTGAGAATAAACACTGGTCTTCTTTTAGGTGTGGACAGGTATGAGATTGACTAGTCCGATCCAACCTAAGGAGAATTTGTAAAGCCGAGGACATGTGTTTTGGAAGGTGTGCTAGATGTGTTGGTTATAAGTTGCTCATCCTTGCCCTGCTCTGCATTGTGGCCAACATTTTACTTTATTTTCCCAATGGCGAAACAAGATTTGCTTCAGAGCATCACCTTGGCAAATACGTAGAGTGCCTTCACGGCATTCTAGGTGGAGGCTTTCTGGTAAGTAATGACCTGGTGGCTTTTTTCAAGTTTATTTTGGTACGCCTCTTCTTTTACCAGTTGCATTAAATAATTCATATCTCATCAGCAGGAAACTCTATAGTTGTATAAAAAAAATTAGCTATATTATCCTAGAGGTGTTATTAATTACTGTTGGTTATCTTATCTGCAAGATTATGTCAGTTTAAAGCTAAAAAAATCATAGGGTCTAGGTTACAGAATCCAAATGCAAGCCAAGCCTCTCAGCAGGTCACAGTTTGCAAAAAGGGTTAATTTTTTTCTTTTTTGTTATTGAATCACTGTCCTTTTAAATCTCCCTAACTAACTAGCATTTACTTACAATTCCTTAGTTTCTGTTATCTGAGAGGTTGACAGTTATTTCTCTGCCTTAGCTACTTACTGGACTTGATGATTTAAGGGTTGGACTTGATGATTTCAGAGGTCTTTTCCAACCTGGTTGATTTTATGATTCTATTCAGAGGAATCGAGTAGCAGTTGTCAAAGCTTTGCATTTGAGTAACAGCAAAGGATGAAGAATCAAGTGTGTTCATTATATGATATTGTTAATGTGAAGCTATTATTTTCTACCTTTTCAGTTTTGTGGACCACATTGTAGCATATTTAACTCCCCTGACTCCAGGCTTCCTTTTTCATCTGCTTTTAAAAGGCCTCAGAAAGAGGCTACAAGTCCTTTTCAACCCTTAACATTCTGTGATTCTGTGATCTTAAGGCATCTGCAAATCACAGGTTGAAAACAATTGTGCTCTGTGTAGTGAGAGGAGTTTACAGTGTGTTACAGCCCCATTGGAACCTAGACTGAGATTTGCAAAGACTGGGCTTCACACAAGAGAATAATGCAAGTGAAATCAATGGAACTGCTCCTGCAACACACTTGTACAACTTCTTCTGGACCTGCAGCACTGGGGCTCAGCAGTAGGTTTGAGTAAGGGCTGACAAGTAGGTGTCTGTTCAACTGGATAGTTCTTATTTTAGTTTCTTGTTAAATAAGTCTATGCAGTTTGCAGGTAACTCTTTACTCTTTCTGTATGATTTTCCAGAGTACTCCTGGGTGTAGATTCTTTATAAGTGGACTCTATTAAAGTGCTGTTTGTGCTGGTGGGAGGATCCTCTTTTTAATCAGCTCTACTCCTTCTTGATTTTATGCTAAAAGCTCTGGAGTATGGATAATTTATGTTTCTTACAGATAGCTTCTGCTCTGTTACTTTGCATTTCTGTCACTGGAAACTGGTTGTGAAAACTTGGAGAAAGGTAGATGTCTGTAATGAGATGTTTGTCTGAATTGGGCAAAATATTGCTAGACTTTCTACACCAATCAGGTGTAGAGGTTTGTCACACAAGCAGTGATGACTGCTCTTAAGTAACTAGTATATTGGCAGTAGCTGTTTTTTAGATAAATAATTGAGACATCTTGTAGGCTCATTTAGCAGAAAGTGAATGCCTTCTTTTGCAAAGCATTTCGTTTGCAGGATACAGCCTTAAATGTGAACAAAAGCTTTCAAAGCTGAAATACTTTAAATGGAACAATACATCAACAGGCTCTTTCTGCATTTAAGTGCTGTGTATAAACAAAGTGGCAGTAGAAATACACCTGTCCTGGGGTATCCTGGCAAGATGACTACTGTGTTAAATAGGAGTAAAGCTGAATCACCTGTACAGGCTGACCAAGAAGTAACATAAATGAATGCAGTGTGAGGACTGTGTTTTATCTGCCCTCTCTGTGCAACCAAAACGAACGCTGTGTTTGCTCCATACCCAGGTACTCATTCCAGCTGCAGTGTTCATTGGGCTGCACAATGGGGACTGCTGTGGCTGCTTTGGCCATGGGGGCTGTGGGAAGAGCTGTGTGGTAAGTGAGCCTGTACACCCCAGTCCCGGCTAGTCCCAAACACCAGATGATGGCTGTGCTGAAAGTTCATGTTTGTCTGCTGTGCAGATGCTGTCCTCGGTTCTGGCAGCCTTTGTTGGGATCCTTGGCTCTGGATACTGTATAATCATTTCAGCACTGGGCTTGTCTCAAGGACCATATTGTTTTACCCACCTACAGAGAAACTGGATCTATCCTTTCGCTGATTCCTCTGGAGGGTAAGTTGTCTGTTCTTGAGGATGTTATATCTTACCCCACGTACACATGGGCTTTATTCCAGTACCTTTCAGCAATAACCAGTAACGATATATCAAGATTCATTCATAATTTTATGCTTCTCACTCACTAAGAGCTAAACAAATGGCATCAGTTACCCACACTGTTATAATATGAAACCAAATCAATAGAAAAAATATATAATTATATATATAGTATATAATATATATAGTATATACTCTATGTATATATTATATATAGATAATTAAATCTATATATCATATACTGTTCATGTCCCTGAACATCTCTAACAAAGTATAAAGTTTTATGACTTTGAGGGATTTTCAACCTATGATAGTGGTTGTTATGAAATTTGTCATATGATTTGTGTAAGAGTCTGTTTTGTCAGGCTTGCTTCTGAAGTTGCTTTGTGTTAGCTTGAAGTGGTACAATGGCTGACAGAGCTTAAGGAGTGTTTGGACGATACTGTCAGGCACATGTGTGACTCTTGGGGATGGTCCTGTGCAAGGCCAGGAGTTGGACTCGATGATCCTTGTGGGTCCCTTCCAACTCAGCATATTTGGTGATTCTGTGAAACTTTGCATGGAATAAACACTGATTTTTCTGTTCCCACTTGGAGTGAATATCCCTGGTGCAGTTACAGACTAGGCATAGTTTGGTTCTAGTGTATGGTAAGCATCCACTCTGACACAATGTTAATACACGTTTAATTGCTGTGTACAGGTACTTGTTTGAGTATAACAAGTGGTCTGAATGTCAAGAACCTCAAAACATCGTGCAGTGGAATGTCACCCTCTTTTCCATCCTCCTTGTCTTGGGAGGAATAGAGTTCATTCTGTGCTTCATACAGATAATCAATGGACTGTGTGGGTTGTGCAGTGACGAGGAGGTAAGTCGGTTGTAGTTATAGCCCCGCTTCTCAGATGAACAGGAAACAGTATTATTACTGATGCTACTGTGGAGTCTTACTCAGCAGTTACTTTTTAGATATTCATAAGCAACAAGTTCCCTGTGCAACACGTTTTATAGCCCAGTTGTGTTTAGCATTTTCATGTAGTGTTTGGCCACGTGCGTTCAGCTGATTGCTCAGCTCTCACAGTAACATTAGTCTGCATGGGAGCAAGGAGCTGGAAGGCTTTTATCTGCTCAGTGGCACATGTGATCATCAGCACTATATAGGTGATATAACTGAGACACTGATCTCTTGGTGGTTGTGGTCTTTGCCTAAACCATGGTTGCATAGTGTGATGCTTGTTCTAACTATATTGCATTAGCCTTGTGTTTTGCCCACAGCAGCTCATAAACTACTGATAATATGCTGCATGTAATGAAAACTGCAGCATCCTGGCCCTGCTTAGTAAAATTAAGATAAGAGAAGGAGTTAAATTTTACAGCTAATAAAATCTGCAGACAGGTCTGAAGGGGTTTTGAAGGTGGATTTTTTTGAGTGAGGAAAGGGAATTTCCTCCAAATTTCTTTAAAGCCTTGTTAAACAGTTTGGGCATATTGTTAAAATCAGTATCATAGTGGTAGTGTTGGCTTAAGGTATGAACCAGATATCATTTGTATCACACATTGTAGAAAAGAATGTGTTTCACATTTTTAATTGATATAGTTGAGTGCTGGGGGTTTTTCAAAGCTATTACTGTCTTCTTCCTCCTGTCTTCCATGGTCTAAATGCAGTACAGAAGAGGCATGCTATGGTTGTCTAAATTTGGTCAGGTTAATTTTTTCATTTATATTTGGGACACAATATTAGCATTCTTTCCATTAATATGTTAATATGTTTCTTTCTTTTTGTTCCCCTAGACATATGTTTGCTAGAAACCTGACAATGCATTGATGTCCCTGCGTGTGTGTAATGCAATGAGTATTCTGTGGATTTTTTTAAAACATTCCATGCATCCTGAAATACACATTGTTGTCAAACTGTGCTGTTGCCATCAATTTAACTGACTTGGGGCCAGCCTTTGTTATTGGAGTCATATACAGGTTTGTCACTAACCTGCCTGTACTTAAAGGCAAAATGTATCCTGAATTTCTTTGGTTCATTTTATCTTAGTACAGGCAGTTGCCTGAACACATCACTAAAGAGGCTTTATTTATTTTTTTTCTTTATACTGACACAACGGCTCTGTACTTTATCTCGCTTTCCCAATAAAGTTGCTCTTTCATTCTGATCTTGGAATGAACACAAACCAAATCTAGTCTGGCCTGGATATAAATGAATACTGGGTTTTGGGTAGATACATGCACTTCACCTTTTCAGGATTTTTCTGAACTTCCCCTGTATTTCACAAATAAAGATTTGTATTAAAAATACCCATCAGGTGTCAATGATTCCTTCCCTGCCCATGCTGAAACACTGCCTGCCTGGTCTTGGAGTAAAGGACAGTGGTGGCATGAGAATGTGGATATAATGCAGTCAGGTTATAACCTGCTTTTCCTCTCCAACAGGCTCTGCCAGAGTGGAACTGCTTCACTGCTTGGTTTGGATCATTTAGCTGAATCAACAAGGGTTCAGCAGCAGCTCTGTGACAGATACAGCCGCACATGTGGAATCCTAGTCCTGGCTGGCAGTTCCCAAAGGGGTCCCCGTGCAGCTGAATCCAGCTGTGAGTCCCCTCTGTCCCCCCCAAGGGGGATCACCTTCTGACTGCTCCATTACAGGAGCATTACAGGACACAAAACAAAATGTGGGCCTGACTCTCGTTTTTTACCTCACTCAGTAGACCCTCAGGCCTCACAGTGTTGGGGGAATACAGTCCAAATTCAGGTCAGCAGAAACAGATTAATCTGAAATACCTGACTTCACCAGTAAGCAGCCTGGAGGCATTATTGTAAGCTACTGGGCAAGAACCTCTGAGGTATAGCTTGTAGCATATTAGAGTGAATGTTTTATCACAAGTAAATCTGAGTAACGTGCTGCCAACAGCATTGCTGGCAAGGTCAGTATGCAGCTGGTAGTGGCAATTTTCAAGTGAAAACCAAAATGTGACATGCTGTTTACTTCAGAGAAATGAGTCTCGCTTTTGGTATGTAGCTGTTAATGTTGTCTTTGAAAAGAGGCAAGTTGATTTCTATTTATGGGAGAAAAGCTCCCATGGGCGTCAGTGCATCCTTAGGCCATTTGTAACTAGGAGGATGGTCTTTAAAGGTAGACAGAAACTTGAGAGGTATCTCAGGCTGTCCACACAGTCGAGTCTGCCCTGTACAAATGAGTATCTGAAAAAAAGAAATTAACTGTGAAAACAAAATTGTACACACACATCCACAGCAGCAAAAGAACTCACAGATGGGAAGAGTTTGTGTTTTGAATCTCAGGATACATGATTTTTGCAATAGCATTTATTCATACCTAAATACATAGAAGTAGTTGAGAGTTTTAATGACGTTTGTTGTATTTATCCCTGTCTTGCTCTGCTATGGGAGGAAGGAAGGACAATATGTGCATGCACATGTGTATACACACAAAATTCCTTGCAGCTGTGCAATACAGTGTCTTTGTATGTGAAGAAACACTGTTTGAAAAAACATCTGCAAGTTTAAATGGGTGTGGAAGGAGAGAAGTGGAGAAGAGAATCCCCAGTGGAGCCAGGTATAATGCCATGCAACTCAGAGATTTTTGCCTTTATGCTTGCATAATGGTTATTTGTCTTTCTGGTACACACAATTAATAAAGAACTGAAACAATTTTAAAAATTGCAATTGATGGAATGATTAGGGTAGATTAGGATTTAAAACTTCAGCTCAGATCCATGTAGCACTAATGCACAACATTACTACTCATTATTTATGTTGTTATGTGAAAAAAGACCAGTTGGATTCCTTTGTTGCCTGGTGCCTAACACAGTGTTTTGGGAGGTTTATCAACTATATTGTGGAGAAGCAGTTGGTTTAGGTTGTATTCATTTCAGTTGGCAGAGAAGTCACTCATCCAGAGTAAACATGACTTTTCGGTAACAGTCTTGGCATCAACTCATGGATAATGACAGCAACGGGAAGGCAGTGCTTGCAACACTTGGTAAGATATTTGAGAAACTGTCTTACAGATTTGCTTAATTCTTAGTATAGAATGGTTGTTTCCTATTCTAGTGATTTTGTGTGCCAGCAAAATAACCACACTATGATTTGGTATTTGCAGAGCTCAGTTTGAATACAAACTAAGTTGTGATCTGGACTGCTGTACTGCAGAACAAATGCTGCTTCAGGCATTGTTTCCCAAGTTAGTTTCTTCTAATCAGAACAGCTTATAATAGAAGTAGCAGCAAATTTCATTATAAAATAAGCTGCTTACTATTAATTTTGGCCTCTGCTTTTAGGAAAAAATATTTCAGCCTGTTACATGATCTCTGAGTTTTTAATAAAAGATCAGTCATGAAGATCTGATATGTGTACTTTTAATGCAGCTGTTTTCTCTGCTATATAAGGCACAGCGTTGATGACAGGAGTTCTGTCTTTGCCTGTGAGTCTGAAAAGGCAGGTTTGCTACTACTTCTGATTGGAGGGAGACCTGAAAAAAAGTGTCCATAGTGATTAGAGAGTAAAACAGGAGATATGGGAAAATCAAAATGAGACCTCTTAGAAAAAGAGGAGAGTCACAGCAGAGAAGGGTAGAAAAACAGTGTAATTGTGTGAGTACCACCATGCCCATTTCCTTGTGTGATCTCATTCAAAGCAATAGTATGGTATTAGTTACAATATGCAATCCAAAGAGCTTTTATGAGATGATGTGAGAAGCCTCATGTGTGCAGAGCCTGAAACAGCTCATGAGGAAACAGAAGGAAAATGTATTGTGACATCATTGCTTCTAAAATCAGCCTTCCTGCATTTGATAGAGCCCCATTTTTTTGTTCTCTGACTACAACTTTCCTATTGAGTAAAGCCTAAGCTCATTCTAGAGTTACTTTTCTGATGACTCACAGGGGTGTAGACTGAAGGCTTGGGTCAAGCTGTGTTCAGACCACTCCAGCTCTGTGTTACTGGCACAGATGTTTAGTTGCTCAGGGGTAAGGGAGTGATGGCATGTGACAATGGGGAAGCTGTGTGACTTTGGCTTTGCACAGTGCAAACAGCAGGCATTTCGAAAAAACAGCCAGACCTTTTGTCCCGCACAAGAAGTCACGTGTACGTAGGTTAGGTCTGTAGCTGTGCAAGCTCAGCTGTAAGCACAGAATGAAACAATTGGAGAAATAGCAGGATTTGATTTGAAAAACAGTTGAGCCACGTAATGCTGTGCGAAAGAGTAATTGATTAAAAGTGTGACAGTATGTCTGCCTGGCAGTTTCTAACCAGTGTTATTTGGGCTTCTGTACTCTCTGCATGATGGGCCAGACTCAGCCTGGTGTTTCTGTGCGACTGTCCCAAGTCAGCAACAAGTTCCCCCTTAGGGCTCTGTTACTAAATCTGTCGTGTGAGGCAAAGTGTGGCCTTCTATACAGAGACTGAATATTTCTCATCTGACAGCCCTCTTCCCCATGCTGCACTGAGGCTGAACAACGTGCCTCTGTCACAAACTGTCTGTGTTACAGTTTGTATTCTGGGGAGGAGGAGGGCATTTTTGAGCAGTCACTAGGAAATGAGAGCTCTGAATTTCCTTCCTGAGTCTGACTCCTAGATATATTTCATTTGGAAGATCACAAAGGAGGATCTTTTAGAAGGGAAATGGCTACTTAAAGACGTGCTTAGTTTAGGACAGCGAGTTTACATAGCGATATTCATCTGTTGTTCAGCTAACTATTAAGCACTTCTGTCCCTGGAATCACACCCCAGTCACTGGTTCCTGTGAATATGAAATGACTGAAACAGGCTGGGGAGGTCAAAACACTTTTTATATTTAAAATCTTGTAATCTTTTGTTAGCTTAGAAGAGCAAAATTTCCAAAGTTCTTGAGAGATGGCTTTAGAGACATGTGGAAGCTGTTTGAGTTGCCTGCTGATACCTCTTGCACTTTGGAGTATTGTTGTGAACATCCTCCTGTACTTCCCAAATGGGAAAGCTCTGCATGCAGCCAGTTACCAGCTCCCCAGCTACGTGTGGTATTTTGAAGGGATCTATTTCTCAGGTGTGATGGTAAGTGCTCATTCTATGGGTTTTTAGTGAATTGCATTCTACTGCAAATGATATTGGGTTACTCTTCAGCAATGCAATTGTGCTTTTAAAGAATATATGGATTACTTTGGCAAAATCACCGTAGGCAAAAAACTCAATCAGATTTAAAAAAAGTTAATATACTGAACGACAAGCTAGGTAAACTATTTAATGTGTATACTATTTAATGTGTATACTATTTAACATGAGTGATTTTGCAGGGTGGGTTTTTTTCTGCTGTCTTTTTGTTTATGCATAATTTACGCTTGTATTATGAAGGCAGACACTATGTTGATTTAGTCCTCTAGGAAGGTTGAATTACAGCTCTGTTACCAAAACAAAATGAAACAAAAACTTCTCGTAATGGTTCAGATGTTTTTAAGAGCTGTACGTAGTCCCGTATTTAGAAGACTGGATACAGTTCACAATGCATCAGATGCCACCGTTGTCAGGTTGAATACAGAGAATTGTCTCACTGTGATTGTCATAGTAGGATTTTCCCCATTACATTTGTAGTATGTTCACCTGCAGTAATAAACTACCATGGAGTTGCCCGCTGTTCATGCTGTTCCCTATATTCATAAACAGCTGTATACTCAGGGATAGAAAGCAGTTATGTGATCAAAGTGCATTACACACAATCAGTGCTTGAAAAGGGCTCATCTGCATAAGTGAGGGTTTTTTATGAAGATGCTGAAGAGAGAGTTACTTCTTTTGAAATTGTGTATTCTCCATAAAGCAGAAGAAAAATCTTATCTTTTCTATCAGAGGAAAAAAACCTATCAGACAGAGGATTCAAACAGAAAAACAGTTGCAAATTTGGGAAAAAGTTAACTGCAATAGTGATATTGATATTTTGAAGCATTTTTAGCCTTAAGATTATTACCAATTTATTAAAAATGCATATGTCATTGTGTTACCAACAGGTCAGCAGCATGCAAGAGGATAATGCTTTGATTCAGAAACATTCCTTACTCATATTTCCCCTTTCAAACTAGTGCCTCTCTGAGTGGCAGTTTGTGGTTCTGGAGTCTAGATCCTATTTATCAAAACGATTCTAGGATCAAGCTGAAATAATGCAGTAGTCTGAGAAAATCAGTGTAGGTACTTGACAGAGAAAACAAATGAAAGTCCAGGTGAATTTAATTAGCAGCTTGCACTACTGACTTTTTCTAGCGTGACTGTGTTGGTAAGGAAGGCAATACCCTGATCCGTGTACCTGTGTCAGCAAGAAGCTGTTGAACTGATGTGGCTGTATCAATAAAACATCAATACCAACATTTCGTTGGTATTGATTCTCTTACTTGTGAACTCGGTTTCATTGTTTCAGGTTCACTAGTGTAGCTGTGCCCAAGCTCATAGCACTTTACTGTGGTGGGAGACACTGTGCTCGTCTTTCAAGCACAAGTGCAGTGACAGCCTAGTAAAGCCACTCCAGTTCCATGTGTGCCTTGAGTAATTGTGCTCTCCCACAGATCAGCTTTAAAATCTCAAGGGAGCACAAGAAATGCAGTCCCTGCTTTCCATAGGTAAAGGAGTCTTTGGCTTAGTATCTGCAGTCATCTCACTGACCTTATGATGTCCCCTTACAGATCCTTCTTTTGGCAGTAATTCTGATGACGCTGGAGTGTAGCATATTCTATCGGTGCTGCCAGAGTGAGAGCTGTAACAAAACCTACAGAGTGAGTCTGTGTTTTATATCTCTGCATCTCCTTAGCTTTTGTTTTGAGTGCCTTCCTGCTCCCATGGTTCCAGCACATCCTTCTGCCCCCTCTACTGTTCGTATTCACTTCCTTTCAAAGAGGATTCTAAATTGGGTTACAAGGTCACAGAAAGTATAGCTTCTTCCTTCTGATGCATAAGCAGGATGAAAGAAAACTAGACACATACTCCCCCTAAATTCTTGTAAAATAAAATAAGAATGTAAAAGGCCTGAGTACATCAATAAAGTGCCCCAACTAAATAGATTCATGCCTTTGCCTGTCTTATTTGGAAGTTATTTTTTCCACTAATGACTCAATATATGCTATCTGGAATGCAGACTATTTAATCCATGGTTGGGTTTCCTGTTGTATTTTGGGAAAAATTTACAAAACTGCAAGTTTAAAAAAACCCACCCAAACAATATTGTAACTTATTATGGAACTGTCTTAATGTCTTAATCTTTATTTTGCATGTGTGTGCTTTTACTATTCTTTACCTGCTATTTTTCTTTTTGAATTTTGAATATTGAGAAAATCAAATGTGAAATTCAGCCCCAAGAAAGTAGCTAGGCAGACTGAACGACTGTTTGCTGTGGACACTGCCCCTCAGAGTAATATTTCTCTCTCTTTACTCCAGAGTTTTATTTCAATTGTGCTAGCCCTGCTTGGAGTTGCTTTCTCAGGATACAGTTGCATCATTTTTACCCTGGGTTTGATTCAAGGCCCTTTCTGTAATTCATCAAGTGGATGGGATTATATTTTCAAAGACACTGCTGGGGGGTAAGGAACATCAGTGTAACTCTTCTGCAAGAAATTGTTCATAAAAAAAATAGTCAGACACATTTTTCTTACTTCACACTGGTGTTTCTCTAACAGGTACCTCACAGATTACCCTGCCTGGTCTCGATGCACAGAACCTGCTAACATAGTGGAGTGGAATGTCATTTTACTCTCCATTCTCATAGCTCTCAGTGGGCTGCAGCTGATCATCTGTTTTCTCAAAGTGGCTGCCGAGTTGAAGCGAACGCTCTGTGGGAACTATTCTGTTTTTGTCCAGGTAACAAAACATCTGAGGTTAATTTCTTCAGCACCTCCAGGTCAGTTTAGCTACAGAAACTTCTCCTAGTTGAGGACTTACCCTTTTGGTTTATGCATTCTCTATGCTAGTGCATTTTTTTTACCAGAGGTTATGTATTGATAATACATTTTTTGTTTTTGATTAATCTGCTAATTCTTTGTGGTATACAGGAATTGGTGGCTGCTCACTCTGACCTTTAGGGCTAGGACTGAGAAAAAAAAAAAAAGTGGCTGGGAATTCAGCACTAATGCCAAGTCCTTTACCCCTATGTCAGCAGAGTACTTTGCTGAGCACCTTTCTTCAAGCATTCAGTTTACAGACATTCTTACCATCATTGCTGTGGCTTTCACAGCAATGATGAGATTTGCACTTCCTTTTTTATTTGCAGGCTGGGACTCTCTGAAAATGGGAAGGAAACTGTTGCTGCCTCTCCCCCACCACCAGAAAAAGAGAGATGGCCTGTCCAACATCCATGGTGGTAGATTTGAGTGCTACAAAGACAAATGAAACCTTTCTCTTCAATCTTTGTCTCTCAAACCTCTCTGTTTTGGATGAAGTCGTTCGAACTGTTTGACGTCTACATTTTATTTTGCCTGTCTTGTTGTCCCTGGCAGGGACTCTTCAATTTTTTAACCTCCAACTTGTTGTGACAATAGGGATGTTTGAATACCATGGAACTACTTTTGTATTGAAACCACCTTTCTTTTTTTTAATAAACTGCTGTAGAACTGCTTTAATCCTCCCCTCTCATTGCTTAGACCATATGAATATTTGTGGTTCCGTAAGGGCCTGATTCAAAGCCCAATATATCAGGAGGGGTTGTTAGTGTACTGCATGAAGCCATGATTTCCTAAATGACTGAATTTTAGTTACAGAGAGACCATGATGGCCATGGAGGGCAGAGCTTACTCTGCTCCTTCCATCTTGGAAGTTCTTAACTGCAGAAAGCAATTACTGAATATGAAGTCTTCCTGCAGCAAGAACGTTAGCCAAGTCTGATTGACAGATTAAATACACAGCTCTGAAGTCAGCTGTGCTATTGGTACATGTTAGTAGCTGCACAGGGTTTCTTTTCACTTTATACTCAGAGGCAAAGGTTTTTTTCATTTTAGTCAAGTATGGTGTGACTTGACGGAGCATATGAGGAAAACTTGTGAGGACCCAGTGCTTGCTTATTAATGCTCTTCTAAGTGACCTGATGCCCTGACCTTGCTACAAGGGAAGGCTAAAGTTCTTGACAGTAATGATCAGATGAAAAAGAATAATCTGTATTTAATTAGCAGCTAAAAGGTACTTTTACTTTCTCAGAGAATTATTATTTCGTTCCCAGTGAAAATTCAAGGATTCACAACGAAGTGGACATCTGGCTCATTTTGCAGGTGCATGAGCAAGATTTGGCTGTATTCAGCACTCTGATTGTGAGAGAATGAACACCCAGTGGAAAGAGAAATATGGACTTCAGACTTGCAGTAATGCACATATCCCTATTACATCAGAACTAGTGGGATTCAGGTATATCAATGTCTAATATGAAACACTGTTAGAAATGCAAATCATACAATAAGTGTCAGCTTTGGGTAAGTTATTTATAAAAGTATAGAATATATCAGCCATTTAATTCAGTTTAAGACAATATTAAGATTTTGCCTTCATATTCCTTTATCAGGTTGTTTTGAAAAGCTGATTTCTTCCTGTAGGATTTGATTTTAATTGCTTAGTTTCTATTAAGTTGCAAGAAGTAATAAAATAATTAATGATGTTTAAGAATGGGGCTAGTCTTTTGGGAGATGGTTTGAGGTGGCATAGCTGGTCAGAGGTGCATGATAGAAATACATGATTATAAAATGAGGACTCTGTCACTGCATACTTGTTTTTCTTTAGGCTTAAATATGCAACATGTAATTTATCTACTTAAATGCTAATCCTACATTCTCATGGATTTGTGAATGCTGTTTGTGGGGAGAAGGAAAAGAAAGAAAACTTAACAATCAACCCATACTCCTACCGAACATCTTGGACAATCTTGAGGATTTCATGCCTGCAAACTGTGGAGCTGTCTTTAATGCATCCTTTTTTATCTGATTGTGTCTGGTGAATTTTCGTTTCCACTCTACCACAGGCATCTCCTATTTTAGGGGCTTAAATTAAAGAAAGAAACATGTGGTTTATGTCTTGGTGAACTTCCTGATCTTGCAACCCCCTTTATTCATAATCCAGAATTTGGCATCTCCATTGCCATAGTCAGATTCAACTGTGACTTGACAGTTCCGCTTTTAAATGCTCAGCTTATTAATTTGAAATTTGTCGTAAGAATACTAAAGGCTAACAGTTCTATTTCCAAATTTAACAGCCAGTTGCATGCAGGGCTTTTGGATGTAAAGCAAAGTTAAATTTGATCTAATCAATATAAGTCCTGATTCAATCCTAAATATTTTGTCTCTAACAAGAGATGCTATGAGCTGTGCCTGGTAGCAAAAACAAGATTCCTGTAAAGAATGTTAATTAACTGGCTTGAAATCTAGCCATAAGCAATTACCCCAGTGGTGGTGTAGGAGGCAAGGTGACCTTCCAGCTGCAGGACACGGACCTCCTCCAACAGCAGCAGGGAGAAGTGGCCCCCAGAGGCACTACAGGGCTCACACCACACTGGAATGGGAGAAACCCTTTTTTGCACAAGTGTTCCTGAACCTGAAGTGCACGTGCTGCCTGCTGAAATCCAGATGTAAAACATCCCAGGCTCACCTGCAAGAAAGCTGCAATTTTGAGTTTATAAACTCCTGCCAGGGAGGAGTTAATGCTGAATCTGGCAGTAAGAGTTTCAGTATTATTTGTCCCTCAGAACCAGTGCATTTTGCGAGAGTATTAGGATGCTGTGTCTGGAAAAGTAATGCCATGTGTTTAAAGACTGCAACTGGAAATTGCTGTAGAGACTTGGTTTTGACCACAAGTAATTGTGGGCAGAGTTTTGTAGTAAAATACTGTGGAACCCCATCCACAACTTTTCATTTTGGGGTATATTAATCCTTATGTAGGTAAAAGTGACTCTTGCTGAAGTACCATTTCCTGATTGTTAATTCTTCTCATGTTGGATGGTTTTCCACATTGAGGAAGAATAGGGGAGGTGCCCCAGATCTTTAAAGGGTGTTTGACTGTAGAGGTTTGCAGGTGGCCAGAGCAGGAGACAGACACACATCATTCAGATCTAGGAATTGTTAAATGGTAGGGGTTCAATTCATTTTCACTGGGAGACTTTATTGAGGCCTCTTTGTCAGAATGTTCCATTTTTCGGTTGATTTGTTCTTTTTTCTTTCAAGGAAAATTTTTGAAGTAAAATATCAGCTTTATATTTTCAATGCAATTTTGGGGATTTTCAGCAGCTTCAATATGAGAAATAAGGTAAAGTGGTTTAAAACGATAATGGGATATTCATAACATCAAACTGCAGACTCAAAATTTAACCAATTAAATCAGGTCTTTTTAGGCCCTGTCTATGAAAGGAGAGAGGTTCCTGCTCTTCAGACGCCCTCTGAAGATAATACAGGGTTGGGAAGCTCAGGCACTTTGGTCAGTTTTTGAGTTCCTCAAGAAAAAGATAATAGGAGTGTGCTTGGGCACAGAGATGTCTGAAAGTTTGGGGGAGGCACCATTAAAAGTGAGAACGGAAAAATCTTACCTTTCAGAAGTTTTTGCTATATTTTAAATAAGAACAACATGAAGTTCTTTTGCAAATCAAGTAAGAGTAATTTAGAGGATTCGAGGGTCTGAGGAAAGAAATGCTCATATTTTTACCCTCAAATAAATGTGGAGATTTCAAGGGTATTGCTTGTTTGCTCTTTTGTCTTCCTCAATCCAATGGCAACCTGAAGAAATATAAACCAAATAGGCCACATATGCATGAACAACTCTGTTAGCTGAGAATTAAGTAGTGACTTTGAATTTAAGTAGTGTAACATTTTCTCATTTTTACCTCAGTTAATTTACAGATGGGTCACGTGCAACCGGGATAAGCTGATCTTTCCACTGCACCACTGACCGTCATCCATGGCAAAGAAAAAAAATTCCTACAGAAATCATTTTGAGCATCTGTCACCAACCCATGAAACTCCAGAATTTCATCATAGATTTGGTCAGATTTCAAAATCTTGGCTTTGGCCACAGTAATTGAGGCAGAAGCAGAGTCCTCCATTTAGTGCAGATCTGTAGAATGTTCCAAAAGATGAGATTATGAAATTCAGTATTCTGACAGTGCCTGATTTTTTTTATATGAATGGTGATTAAAATTGATAATTTATCTGTATACCACAGTCCTGGTAAACAAGGCTTAGATTTGTATATCATGAAAGGAAAGCTGCTGTACTTTAGTTATGTTCTGAATCTTAGTCTTCTATCCAAAATAATAATAATTTTTCTGACCAGTATTAAAATAGCTTCAGAGAAGATTGTGATTACTACAGGTATTTTTGAATTGCCATACAATGGAAAATGTAATTTAGAATGACTGTTTCAGTGCTCAGAGCACAGACAAGACTTTTTAAGAATTCCCAAGTGACTGAAAATACACGTTTTTCTTAATAGAAGTTTACAGGTGGCTTTGTTTGTCTAAAGCTTCAGACACAACCATGTTGTATGAATATATGCTCAGAAAAAGTGCCATTGCAAACTTTACTTAGGTGGTTTTTAAACATTCCATATTTAAGGTCCAATTTTGTTCTTAATTTTCAATGAGACTAACAGATACAAAATGATTACAGAACTTGAATCAAGCAAAAGAAGCATTTGGCACTGAGTAGTGCATTTTGATAAGGGTAGTAGTTAAGATTATCTGGATCTTCTGATTTTAATCATTGAAGAATGTGGCTTATCCTGTCTGCAACAGACTAGGAGGCAGATGACACAGGGAGGTAGTTTTGTGGAATTTGTGAGCCTCAGTTGAGGAACACTAAAACTTCTTGAAAAGGGGGTGCAAACATTCCCCACCTCCATCCCTGAATAGCCGGTCCTTTTCATCTCTAGCAACACGTGCCACACTTTGTGCTAAAATTACATTTCCAAGGGAAGTGTGGTGTGCAGTAGAGCTGACCCAGGCATGCCCTGATGTGCACACTGGTCCCAGTGACACCAGTCCTCCCTTGTCTGTCAGTTTGGTGGTGGCTGTGCAGAAGGGAGGAGGAAGATCTGTGGGAGCAGAACAAGCAAGGGGAACAGGCAGCTGCAGGCGTACCTTGGGCTCCCTGTGTCAATGCAGAGCAGATACACGGGGGAAAGGTGTTGCTTAGAGCTTTCCACAACATGCTTGAGAAGTTGTGTTCTTGTGCCACAGGTCACAAGAATTATTTTCTCAGTAGCATCCGAGCTATAGAGAGAGTCATGAAGATAGTGAAGAATGTAATTAAGCTTAAATCTGTAAATCCATTAAAATCTGCTTTCAATTCAGTGACAAGATTTACAATCTATGACAGTCTAAATGGTGATGATGATCTAAATGTGCAGGATAGTAGGCTGGCAGAAATAGAAAAAATTTCTTTGAAGATTATCTGAACTGACAAGGTTACCAGAATCTTTTGTTTGCTCTTGACACAGAAAGACATTGTGCAATTGGTGTTATTGTGTTCAGCAAAGCAAACAGCAGCAGGGACGGGGAGGTGAGGAAGTGGGGAGTGGGAGACACAGTAACATATAAAGGGAAATTGCATAGGCCTGTCCTGCGTTTTTATTTCACGTTTTCCACAAGGTTCATGAATGCAAAATGAAGCTATTTCTCCTAAGCTGCTTGCTGTTTTCTTGCTGTTGGCGAGCTGGGGCAGTGAACCGTGAGTACTACTTGGGCATTACAGAGACTGTGTGGAACTACGCGCCCGGCAGTGCCAACGCCGTCTCGGGGCAGCTTTTTGCGGAAGAAGAGTAAGTAAAGCAGTTCACACTGGTTGAGTTTGATTTTACAGCATCATCTGGTTTAGGCACCAGGGCCACACTGGTGAAGGCAGTGAAATGAGTCTTGTTGGTGTCAGTGGATTTTTTTCTGGCTTGCTTGAGAACTTCATTCCAATGTTTTGCTAATTAAAAGCATTTGGATATGTAGGGGGTGTGAATTTGTTGTAATGAAACATTTACTAAGAAGAGACTAGAAAAAGACCCCAAAAGTCTAATGTTTAACTTTGAATGTCCAAGATGTCAGTGCCAAAGAGATGACTTTTGCTGTTGTTTTTAAATGCAGAAGCTTGACAAATTTAAAACTTTCCTACTGTGCACAGGTTTCCTTTTTAGCTGTTCTTTTTTAGCAGGGGTGGTTCTCTGTGCAGCAGCACAGCTGGGTCCTTCCACAACAGTGGAGGAGCTGAGTTTCTTGTCACAAGGCAAGGAGGGTCCTGGGCAGACTGAGTGCAGTGAGTAGGCTGAGGATAAGTACAATCAGGAGGAGGGAAGCACCCTGGAGGTATGAATAATCAATAAAGAAAACTCAGATATAAAAGGCATCAGAGAAACATTTGAGAGAGAAAAAGTGTTCCTCCCTTCTATTTTTTCAGTGCCTTTAGAATTAAATAGGACTATACCAAAATAAAAACAGTGATGAGAGAAATCAGAAATTGGAAAGATCTCAAAAATGCAGTTCTCATTTAGTCTGTGGATGAGGGATTAGATGATTTCCTGTGGTTTGTTTTCTCTAGTGAGAGCCAGCTCTCTCAGCCATAATCTACCACTCCATAGGGTGTGAGATGAAGCAGTCAGCTTTTTTTTCTTTCACTCACAAACTGCATGAGGTATAAGACACTGTCAGTGATTCAGCAGGCTACTAATTCTGATCAGGGGTGGAAACAAGGCACCTTATCTGAGAATTCCAAAGCTGTGTTGTAATACAGTGAAGCACTGCTGTTCACTGCACTTTCACTGCTTTGCTCTGCTCTGTGATGACCTGCAGCTTGCTGCATTAATTCCAAGTTTTCAATGGTTGTACGCCTGAAGTGGAGCTGGTCCCTTTTATTATACTTCTCATTTTCAGGTCCTTCAATTCCTCTTCTCCTGAGCCCTTTAACTATGAGGCTCTGTGTGTGTGGAAGTTGATGTTTATAGGGGCAGGGAAAAGCACAGTGCAGAAGAAATACTTTTCAACTAAATGATAGCTGTTTAAACAGTCCAGTAAGAGCCATAACCTATTTGTTTGCTTTCGTTTGCAACTCAAAAGCCTCGTGCACTCAGACTTCTACTAACTGAGCCTTTGCAACTGAGTTTGTACTCCTCAAGTTTCATGGAACCCTGAATTGGCATTTTAATTCCATTTCAGGTCTGTGCTTGCCAAGGTACATACAATTCCCTCCCCACATGCTCAAACAATACTCTGCCTCATAGAAAATACCTTGCATTTTTGGGAAGTATTAACTTGCTTCACATGGCTTGCTCGTGGTTGTGCACAGTGCTATGGAGGACGGGTCTTTATTTGAGACTATTAATTTAAACCATTAACATATAAAACAAGTACCTGACACTACAGATGTGTTTGTGTATTTTCTTTACAGGCAGGCTGAAGTCTTTCTCAAAAGAGGACCACATAGGATAGGAAGCACTTACAAGAAGGCTGTCTACACTCAGTACACCAATCATTTATATGATGTGATAGTTGACAAACCTTCCTGGCTGGGTTTTTTAGGTCCTATAATTAAAGGAGAAGTTGGCGATTCCATTACTGTCCACTTGAAAAACTTTGCTTCAAGAAACTACACACTGCATCCACATGGTGTAAGATATACAAAAGAAAATGAAGGTAGGCTTGATTCCGTCCTGTCCCAGAATTTATCAAAAGTTAATCATCCTTCTGAGTATAAGTGATATTCTCTCATCAGAGAGAACACTGGTCAAGTAAATAAAGATTTAAATTAGGACACAATCAATTTAAAATAGGAGCTAAGAAGTTTGAGAATTTTTTCCAGAGTGAAATACAAAGCCAAAAGTGGCAATTTTAGATCAACATTTTACCTGAAATAACAGTATTTGTGTTTCAACTGAAATAAGGGTATAAAGGTATATAAGAGATTCAGGTATGGATACACAAAAGAAAAATTGATGCTGTTGTAGAGAAGATATTGTTAACAGTGATAACATACAGTTCCAAATTCTTAACACTAAGTTCGTGTATATGGTATATGAGATGTAAGAATCTCTTAAAATGGAAAAACAGATATGACTTAGTAATTAATTAATTAATGAGATGAAAGTCTGACACACTTTAAGATGCATTTAGGGGTGCCTTTGGGATTAGTGATGGCTTGTCCTTGCAATAGCCAGTCTTGGCACACTCAGACAATGGGGGATTTTCTGCACTGGATGGCACCAGAATATGGCTTTTATTAGTAGGCCTGAAAAACAGTGTGTAAATCATTGGGAATATGATGTTGTCTCAAAATCAGTCTTTAAAAATCTTTCATTAGAAAAATGTTATGAAGTATCAGCCTACCTTCTAAAATTTTGTGAACTTTTTCATTACAACGAGTATATATCTTGATATAGCCACACTGTGGAATCAGAGCAGTATGTTACGTAGCAGTACATGCACTTTTGAGAACTTTTTTCTGTTGCTATCCTTCCAGCAATATTTTAGAACAGTTTCCAAGATTAATATTTAACAAATGTTTTGCAAATATTTGAATTGTTATCTTTTTACCAGAAGTACATAGTCCCCTTCCAATAAATAAAGGATTAACTTTAATGTGCCATTAATTGAAGTACTCCTATGGACTTCAAAGGCAAATGAAGAGATTTCTAAAGAGAAAGAAAACATCTATTCCCCTGATTTAAAAGTTGTGCTTTTTTAACCTCTATCCAGATGTCCAGTCCATTTTACTGCAACACGTAGTGAACTTGAAGCATGGTAGGTGCTATCCTGACACCCTGTTGTGAATATGTTGTGGTAACAGTGGCTGTGTGGCATCTTCAGGTGCTTTTTATCCTGACAACACCAAAGATTTGCAAAAGAGAGACGATGCTGTGGAGCCTGGAGGCCAGTACACTTACACATGGGACGTGACAGAAGATCAAGGTCCAGCTCCAGGAGATGCAGACTGCATAACCAGGGCTTACCACTCCCACATAGATGCTCCAAGAGATGTTGCCTCAGGGCTTGTTGGGCCTTTAATAATTTGCAGGAAAGGTAAACCATAAATAAATAAATGAATAAACAGATACGTATGCAAGGTGATTGATAATGGTCTGATAAATATCAGTGAAATAATTTACTGGAAGAGGAGGTTACAGTTGGTTCTAAAATAACAGCTTTTGGTCTTCTCAATTAGCTGCCTTCAATAGTATAGGAAGTAGTTTGATTTTGTGTGTGACAGTGAATATAATTTGCAGAATACTTTGTCCACAAATCCAAGAGTGAGATGTGTTCATACAAGGAAGTGTAAATACTGATATAAAAAGCAGATTTACGTGCAATTATTTTATACTATCTATCAAAAGGGATTTTTGTTTCCTGAGTGTGTCTGTAAGTTTATGTGTACAGTCACACTCAAGAAAAGTGGCAAAAACAGGGTCCAGCCCTACTGAGACTACAGTTAAAACTGACAAAAAATGTCAGTTACCAAGGATTTTGAATATGACTTTGATATACTGCTTTCTTTTTCAGGTACAATGAATAGGGACAGTGATCAACACTTTGATGCTGAATTTATCCTTATGTTTTCCGTGATGGATGAAAATCTCAGTTGGTATCTAGAGGAAAATATCAGAACATACTGTTCTGAGCCTTCCGAAGTGGACAAAGACGATGAGGACTTCCAAGAAAGCAATAAAATGCACTGTGAGAGAACATTATATTAATGTTGCTTGTCATTGATATGGTCAAATAATGTATTTGTGTCTTGTCTCTTCTAAAGATGAATTGTTGATAATCTTTTTTTTCAATCAAGGGTTTTTCTTGGAGGATTAAGAAAGATCCTTTTCAATTAAAAAAAAAGGGCAAGTATTGTACAGTCACACCTTTGGAGTTGTGATATAAAATTCTTAGGGGCCAAGAAGCTCTTTGCCAGTGTAGTTTCCCAGGCACTCTAAACAGAGTTGTATTACTTTGTTCTGTTTCTTAGTCCTGAGTTTTGTACTACAATATCACAGTTTAGAAAAGCAATTTTTACTGTTAATGTAAACAAATAAGATACCTTTGGCTCTGACCAATGGAATTCCAGAATCATAGAAGGTAGCTGTGCAGATGAAATGTGTGTCTGGTATTGGCTCACCTTCAAAGGTGTGGAGCTTTCTTTTGAGCCTCTTTCTATTTTGAAGAATAGAGCAATGGTTGTATGATAGCTGCTTTTGAGGAAAAGATCCTAAGACCTGTGAAGTTAACTGTAATAAACAATATTTATTTTAGCCATCAATGGGTACATGTATGGATACCTACCAAACCTCACGATGTGTGTGGAAGATAAGGTAAAATGGCATCTTTTTGGCATGGGTAATGAAGCTGATATCCATTCAGCATACTTTCATGGACAGACTTTAATAGAAAGGCATCATCGAGTTGACACCATCAGCCTCTTCCCAGCCACATTCGTTGATGCTGTCATGACACCAAGGAGCCCTGGGGAATGGCTGCTTAGCTGCCAAGTGAATGACCACATTGAAGGTACAGTAACAGTTTCAGTGATCAGAATTTTTTTAGCTTGAGCTAAGAGCTTACTGACTCACTTCGGCAGGGCTCCTGACCTGGTTATATTCTCCTCTGGGTAACAAAACTCTGTTAGTAACTGAAATGCCTACAAGTGCATTACATGGGCTTGAGCATGTAGCCATGAAAATCAAGGGCATTCTTATCTCTAACGGAGCTGCAATTAGCACAGCTGCACTTTTACAAGCCTCAGCTTTGGACAAAAAACCAGCACAGTGTTTGCCTCTTACTGAAAATAACTAACCACAATTTTCTGTTTGACAACATAAAAGCTGGGGCTCGCTCCATTTTTATCAAGGGGCAACTTGCCTGCAGACAAAGACATTCCAGAATTGGCAAATAAGCTGAGATGTTCTGTTCTCTTCCCTGTGTCTTCCTGTATTTTCAGGTTTTGATAACCATATGAAATACTTAGAAGCTGATTCCATGCTTTTGAATTATCTGTATCCCTATAAGGGAGAGAAGTAATTTGTCACAAAAGTGGGAAAGAACATAGAACTGAAAATCCTTCTCCAAGATTTGAAAATTCTAATATAAAAAGGAGTATGTAACTTACAGATTCAACAACACAGAGATTATAAACTTTGAAATGGTTTTCACATCCAGCAACATCCTGATATGGCTGAAGCATCCTGGGCAAAACTTGAATCCTACAAGTTGACCTAATGTATGACTGTAAAAGGGCTCTCTTTACTATATTATTTGTATCTCCAGCAAGCATATTTGCTAACAGACCGTTCTCTTAGTGCAGAGACCCAGCAGTTTCACAAGTAAGCTCTTAGTTAGATTTAGATGGAAGATGGTCAGTTTGGTAGCATCTGACCTTGGCTGAAGTGCTCATCGACAGAACTGCATCCACCCTACCCTGATCTTCTCTGCTGTGCCAGTTGCAGCTTTAGAAGCAGAAAGCCCTTTACCACACCTGTCTACCTGCTGTAGATACCACAGCTGGGTCTCTCCTAGCTCAGCTGGCATGCATTCTTTTATAACGTTCATCTTCTTCTTTGTTTGTGATTTGCACGTCCATCAGTGGTGTGGGAATTCTCCAGGGAAGAGAACAGCTGTGGGAAGCAGGGAAAAGGAAAACAAAGTGCAGTTCCTTCTCCTTAGGTTTCTCTACCTCCTCTTTTTTTTCCAGGTGGTATGCAGGCCCTTTTTAAAGTAAAAGACTGTAAGAAGTCCACACCAGCTCACAATGAGAGTACAAAGATAAGACAGTATTTCATTGCTGCTGAGGAGATCATCTGGAATTATGGCCCATCAGCAATGAACCATTTTACAGGACAAGAATTAATCATTGACAGGTAAAGGCTTCTAATTAAAGAAGCTTTATTTTCCAAGCAGAATTGATTTAAACATGCTAAATAAGGTAAGACGTATGGTAGAACTGACTTTTAAGCAAATTGCTCATTGTCCTTACCTCTGCTTAAATATTAATGCTAGAATAAATATCAGACCAAACTAGATCTGTTGTTTTCCTTGTAATCTTACTGTAAATTCTGCTGCTATGTTAGTCATTTCACTGGGACTAAGATTAACTATTATGTCCCATGTAGGCAGTGACCCCCGATGGTTCAAGAGGGTTGATTATTCTGAGTAAGAGAACAAAGCTAGGAATTCATGATCATGGCCTCACTGATGGAAATCATGCTAACAGCATCTCATCTAGGAAACAGCCTGCACAATATAGCTTTGCCCTTTGCTCTGTGTTTACATATTTAAAACCTGGATCCAATCGCTGAATACACTGATTCCTCAAATTTTTTATCTGTGAGTTAAACACTCACCTCCTCCCCAAGGGGCAAGGCACAGTTCATTGTTTGAATAGTGTTTGTAAAACACTGAAAGGTCCTTTCTTGGAGAGTAGAAGTGTAGATTGAATCTTCTCACTTTGAATTTAGATGTTACATATTCTCGGTATTTTTATCTGCTGTTGTTGAATTATTTATAGCATTTAATTAAAAGTAAACTCAAGGTTATGAAATGTTGACTAGAAATCATTGTTGATGAGTCTCTAAGCCCACTGGCATTTTAAGGGCAACACACCACAGTGGCTTTTTCTTAAAGAGAAATTAGTGAAGGATAATGGATTCCTGCACATCTTAATGGGGACTACATGTAAGTGTGTGGCCAGACCACTGAAAAGAGACACACTCGGCATGTCATAGTTCAGAAAACAGGGTTGAGGTCCTGACTGCCTTTGGACAGCTGAGCATTATGACTTTAACTGTTTGTATCTACTGCAATTTGTTTTACACAGTGAATCTCGCATCTTTTTTGAACAAAGTGAGACAAGAATTGGTGGCTCTTATAAAAAAGCAATTTACAAAGAGTACACAGATGGTTCTTTTACTGAACATAAAAAAAGACTCGCAGAGGAAGCACATCTTGGACTCTTAGGTAAGATAGTCTAAAATTTTTTCATGTCAAAGATTTATGAGAGTAAACAGTCACTTCCACTAGTTAGCAAGCAGTGCCCCCACCTCCAAGGAGGGGTCCTAAGCTCTCCCTGCCTCCTGCAGATGCTGGTGCCTGTGGCTTCCCCCAAGAGACACCCCAGGGTATAAGGAAGCTCTTGGAGGCAATGCTGTGGTGGTGCCCAGCTTCCCTGTGGGAGCATGCCATGGTCTGCAAAAGTCGGGTTCTGAACTACAAGGCCAGGCTAGGCAGGTCTAGTCCTATTGATAACCTGTCTGCTTCTGGCAGATGTTGGTGCTAATGTCTGTAAATCCCTTTCCAAAGGGAGGAACTGTCCTGAAAGTCTCTGGGCCTCCACGTGACCTGTGAATGGCTGCTGCCGGGCTACCACGCGATTCAGGCCATGTGCCAGGGACCTGGTGTGTGCCACAGAGGCCTGGGGCATTCCCCTGCGAGGGGAAAAGCAGCCAGCCACTGATTGCCACTAAGTTCGTGGTGACCTGTACACCACTTGATAGAAATGTCCTGTAATTAGACCGTGTGCTCTTTTCCAGGACCTGTTCTCAAGGCTGAAGTGGGCGAGCGCATCAGGGTGACCTTCCGGAACAACGCCAGCCGCCCGTTCAGCATCCAGCCCCACGGAGTGAGTTACGGCCGGAGCATGGCAGGGACACGCTATGGCCCCCTGCCCAGAGGTGTGCCACGGGCCGGGGGGAGGGCTGCAGCACCTTAGCATGTGCTGTCTCACCTCTCCACGTGTTAAAGGGGATAAAATAAAGTTCACTTGACATAATTCCCAGTGGTGATTTCTGTGATAGGTACCGAATCTCCAGCCTCTCACGTGAGTCCTGGTGCTACGTTTACGTATGAGTGGAATGTGCCAGAAGATGTGGGTCCCACAGACCAAGACCCAGACTGTTTAACCTGGCTTTATTATTCAGCTGTGGATGCAGTCAGAGACACCAGTTCTGGCCTTGTGGGTCCTCTCCTGGTGTGCAGGAAAGGAGCTCTTCTTTCGTCTGGGAAACAGGTCAGTCAAAGTAGAAAAATGGAAGCATTTGCATCGTCACAGCTCTATCTGCTTTCTCCTCCTGAATTGCACCACCTCCCCTCCATCTCAGTCTCACCCATGTGCTAAGGGGAATTCAAAATGTGAAGAAAGTGGGTTTGGTTTTCAGTCTGGCTCCAGATAGTCACTTCATTGTGAAAACACCATTGTTGTGAGCAGCCACTGGCGTTCGAGTCTCAGCTAGGATGAGAATGTCTAGGAAAATATAGAGATTTTAAAGACAAATTCATTTCCAGAGGTGGTTCCTGCTAGTAAAAAGAGCATTAGCAGCAAATACTCACAAGATACAGCAATTACAGAGCTTTGAGATGATCAGAATGAAGTATCAATGTATGCATCTACCCTACTTTGTGACTTATAAATTATTATAAGCAGAGATTTTTTTGTTTCCTGACATCTTCTGTTCACTCATTTCTATTTTCCTTTGTGCTATTTCTTCTTAACAGAAAAATGTGAACGTGGAGTTTTTTCTGCTTGCCACAGTATTTGATGAGAATCTGAGCTGGTACTTGGATGACAATATTTTGATGTTTACATTAAATCCTGATAAAACTGACAAAGAGGATGAAGATTTCCAAGAATCTAACAAAATGCACTGTAAGAAAATTATTAGTTAGCCAAAAATAATTTCTACAATAAGGTTTTACTTTTATGATTTCATGTTGGAGGCTAAAAAAGTGTATAGTGGCAGAAATATTTCATTCCTTTCCAGTGGAAAACCCCAAAACGTTTCAATGCGATTCAATTTCAACTACATGTGGTAGTTTAAAGTACAATGCCAGCTGTTCAGTGTCTTGCATGGCAGTTTAGGATTTACATGGTTATGTATCACTTTGAGCAGACAGGAGGAGAAGTTAGGTCTTCAGCCCATGTGCAACCCCTATGAGTGCAACCAGGCACCAAGAGCTACATCATCTGTAGCCTTACAGATGATGTAGCTGAAAGAAGGTTTTTCACAGGATCACAGAAGAGTTGAGGTCGAAAGGGACCTCTGGAGGTCACCTGGTCCAACACCATGCTCAAGCTTGGCCACCCAGAGCTGCTTGCCCAGGACCACATCCTGATGGCTTCTCAATACCTTCAAGGATGGAGACTCCACCATCTCCCTGGACAGCCTGTGCCAGTGCTTGGTCACCCTCACAGTGACAGTGTTTCCTGATGTTTGGAGGGAACCTCCTGTGTGTCACTCGGTGCCCGTGGCCTCTGGCCCTGTCCCTGGGCACTGCTGGGAAGAGCCTGGCTCTGTCCTCTTGGCATCCTCCCTGCAGGTGTTTGTACAGGTGGATGAGATCCCCTGAGCTGCTGCTTTTCCAGGCTAGATATCTGAGCTCTCTCAGCCTTTCCTCATAGGAGAGATGCTTTCTTGTCCCTTTGTTGTCCTGTGGCCCTTTACTGCCCTCCAGTATGTTTGTGTCTTCCGTAGCCGGGAGCCCAGAACTCAGCACAGTCCTGCAGGGGTGGCCTCAGCAGAGCTGAGCAGAGGGGAGGGATCCCCTCCCTCGACCTGCCTGCCGGACTTTGCTTCAGAATGAAAGTCTTTGCTTCTTTAACAGAGCAGAGCTGAGTTTCACACTGATTGTATTTTGGTACTGCAGAAATATTTTTCAAGTTTCCTGTTAAAAAACCATTTTTACCTTCAGGGCCCAGCCCTGCCAATAAGTCCTACTCTTTAAGCACATTTACGTGAGTGCTTTCTTAAATTTTGCTCTCTGGGCATTGCCACTATTTACAGACCATTGGTGCTGAGCATTCAGTGGTACCTGTGAGGCCCAGGATTTGAAAGTTTTGCACAGAAGTAGCTAGAAAGGGTTAATAACTCAAAAACCCTTCAGATTGCCTCCACTATATGGCTGGAGGGGGTCACAGGGTATAAAATAGAATGCTTTATGCATCCTGAATACTTGACAGGAATAAAGCAGAGGAAATTCCAGTTGGTTAAGGCAGCAACCTGTGCTTTAGACATTGAAAAGGAGAACGGTTAGAAATTATTTTTCAATACTGGGGTTTAAAAGTTGTTTTGCTTGAGTCAATTTTCTAGGTTTGTTGATGTGATGAAGTATTTTATTATTGATATTTCTGTCAGTCTAAGGCATCACATTACATCTGAAGTGTTTATTAATTAATCTGTATTGCAGAATTAAATCATATATTAATAAAGGTGGGTTTTGCTTTCTCAAATCTTCTACAGCCATTAATGGTTATATGTATGGAAATCAGCCTGGTCTTGAGATGTGTAAAGGAAGTGTGGTTTCTTGGCATTTGATGGGCTTGGGTTCAGAAGTTGATGTCCATGGGATATACTTCTCAGAAAACACATTTGTAACTAAAGGAACAAGAAGGGATACAGCAAATCTGTTTCCACATACAGTTCTTACAGCTATTATGAACCCTGATTCTGAAGGTAAATGTCTTGTTTAAAAATCCTGTTAGTATTTCAGAAGCTGTTACCAATGAATGTTTTATGCTTAGAGACAAGCCTTAAATAGCTGGTATTTTGATCCTGGTGCTAAAACTCTGCACAGGTGTGATTGAAAGGCAGCAAATTGTAAAGACGTGTTCTTAATGCTAAAGCCTTGATTTTTCCAACTTCTCTGTGTGCTGAATTTTATTACAAGTAGCCATACTGCACAAAGAGTTTGTACCTTATATGAGCAATAGCCTGTGTGTCAGTCTTTAAACACTACATCAATATTGGTAATACAATCTTAAGGTAACAGACTTTTGTCCTCAAGTCTTTATTTCTTGTATGACCTCTAGGAATTTTTGAAGTGTCCTGCCTGACAACAGACCACTACACTGGGGGCATGAAACAGAACTACAAAGTGAAACAATGCCACTGGTGGAATGTAGATCCATCTCTGTATTTGCATGAAAAGACTTATTACATTGCTGCAGTGGAAGTTGAATGGGACTATTCTCCCAACAGGACATGGGAATTTGAACGGCATCAACACCATGAGGAAAGGTACTTTGGAATATACACAGGGGAAAAAATGCAAAACAAGCAAAACAGCAACTCACTTCTCCTCTGAACCTTTTCCTCCTCCAAACATTTCTAGGCACGCTTTATTTTCATATATATTTTTAGGGCTCACTTGAATTTGTGGTCCTTCCCCTGTACTATTGCCATGTAACTATGAGCCAGACAGCACAATGTTCAAGAAGTAGTCCAGCATAGACCTTCTGTGGGACAAGTGTATATTTTCATGATTTCTGGATAGTGCATGTGCATTTATTATTTACTGATGTTGGTAGTCCCTGATGTGGAAAGCTTAAAACATTCATTGTCATCGCAGCTCCGATGACTGCTTTGTCCTGATGATTGATTACTTACAATCTGTAACAAGTCTTTGTCTCATGTTTATTTGTAGTCTGAGTAAGGTTCTTTTTTAACTCCTCTCAGTTTCATGAGATTGCACAGGATACGACATGACCTAATCCACTCACTGTGAAGCTTGTTGTCTGGTGTTTTGTTTCCAGTATTTGAATCTCAATGAGAGAGAACTGATTGGATCAAACAATTCATCCCAATTAGCAGAAGAGGCTAAACAAGAACTGATGATTTTCTGTGTTTCACCTGAATAACTTCAATTGAGGTTAAAGTAGCAGATTGTAATAGTCTGTATTTTGTCATTAACTTAATTGTATTTTCTTCTTTTTCCTCAGTTTGATAGCACATTTCCTTGCCCTGCATACCACAGTGGACTCTGACATAGTACTAAGCACAAGTAATATGGACTATGCTGTTATCAGACTTTTTTTTCCCCCACTGTCTCCAGCCCCCATGATCTCAGGAGAGAATCAGTCCCTCACATTTAATTTCATCAGGGCACTTAAGCTTTACAAGTTTTAGGCTTCTTTTCAGATTACAGAAGTCACTGAGGGCTCTGTTTTTCAGTATACAAGTTGCTGTGTGACTTCCTGCAATTTGAAATATCTGCCAGGCCAAGTGCTCAGCATTCTTTCAAGTACTATATAGACTTGGTGTAATTATAGTGAGTTTTTTAACTTTTCAAAGAGAAACCCTCCAGCTTAATGAGAATGTTTTCATGTTGAAGATACCAAAAGTTTATGAGATTACTGTTTCGCTGAGCTGGACTCTTGTTTGACAGTTAATTGACATAACTGCAAAAGATGTTTTAAAATACATGAAGAAATGTTTTGGTTTTTTTCTTTTGGCAGCCCTGGCAATCCATTTTTAAATAAAAATGACAAATTCATTGGCTCAAAATACAAAAAGGTTGTATATCGCGAATACACTGATCAGACATTCAGTACTCCCAAAAACAGAGCAGAGGAGCAGCAGCACCTGGAAATTCAAGGTAGAGTCATCATAAAGTTCAGTTTTGAAAATGTGAAAAATGCAGTGACACAAGCCAAAAGATACTATTTGAATAATGTTGAGTATAGTTCTACCCAGACAAAGTGCCTAAACCTATGTGGAATTCCTACCTTTATTATGGTGTTTTCCCTGCAAGATTACATTGCTTGCTGTACAAGTTAAAAACCCTTCTGGTTTGCTGCCTGATCAGAGGTCAGTATTTCCAGCATAAAGCTGGGTAGCAACATCCAAACTGACTTCAGGTACCCAGTAGGTGCTCAGAACTTTTGAGACCTAGGGGCTTAACTTCAGCATCTCAGGTTGGCAAGTCATAGTGAACAACACTATCTGTATAAAGTTTTCTGTTGACTTATAAGCCAATAGTATGAATTTGAACACAACAAACTGTTTGCTCTGATCTTTTGTAAAACCACGTTCATCTTTCTTTTCAATCCAACAGGGCCACTGCTTATGTCAAATATTGGAGATAAAATTATAATAGTTTTTAAGAACTTAGCATCAAGACCTTATTCTATCCACGCCCATGGAGTGAAAACAGACAGTTCTGCTATTGCTGTAACTAACCCAGGTATCAAACCATCCTTCCTTATTTCTAGCAGGTAACATCAAGACTTCTAGTAAGGTTTATTTCAGATAGTAGGAAAGACATAGTTTTTGTTTGTATGTTTTACCTCAGGTTCTTAAATTTTTGATGTCGATTATGACAAATATTTCTACAGTTCAGATGGCCCTGCTAACTATGGCTATGTATCCTAGTCCTTGACTGATCAGTAATGTTTTGACACAACGTGGCTGCACCTTTCATGAAAGCAAACAGATTTGGTTACGTAGGGAAAGCATAGCTTATGCTATTATTTCTGAAGTTCCTCTGTGATCTTTACAAAAGATACAGTTGTCTTTATTAATATGGTAAACTGAACAGGGAAGACAGACAAAAAAACCCAAACAAACACTGTCAAGAAGAATCAGAGGTCTGCAGAAGTTAGCCAGTGCAGTAATTGGGAAGGGGAAGTTCAAGACATATATAAGCTGTAAATGGAGATAACAACTGTTTCAAAATGACCTCCTATAGGTCAGCATACTGAAAATTTCTAAAATTCATTGATACTTATTTAATTCAGGTGAAACAAAAATCTATGTTTGGAAAATCCCAGAGAGATCTAGTCCTGAGAGAGGAGATCCACATTGCATTGCATGGGCATACCATTCAACAGTGGACATCATTAAGGTATATAATTAATATCAGTCTAAAAGGTTTTGTTCATGACTCCAACATGGATATACTTACAGGAAAAGGGAATTCGAAATTCTTTCTGCTTTCTCTGTCAGGTTATTTCCCCTGTTACCATACCTTTGAATTTAAATGTTTCTTGAAGTCAAGTTGCAGGAAAGTCAGGGCATAATTTGAGAGTCACGGCCCTCCATGTTCTTGCTTTCTGGTTTTTCTGCTGCTGGTATAATCACCTCACTCAGATTTCCTCATTGAAGCTAGCACTTTATAGCTTGCTCAGTATCTAATTAATCATGTGGGGGAAAGCTAACATGCAGCTGTGAAACACAACTCTGCCATTTCTTACCAAGCATGCATTAACTTAACGACTAATAATTTTTAGTGGAAATGAATGTACTCTTGCCTTCATGTCTCAACAAATACAAATAAAATGTCGAGAAGTATATTTTGAATGTAAACCAAGCTCAAAATGATAAAATTATAAAAACAGTTTGGCAAAAAAAAAGAGCAAGAAATTAATATGGAATGAATGCTTATTTCTAGCAGGAGGTGAAAATGAGGCAGTTAGTCTTCACTGAGCTTGATCCATGGGTAGCATGTAACAGTTGAGAAATAGCCTTGTTTGCCTGACAATGACTGCCTTTATTCTCAGCTACTGACAGCTGTAAAGATAGTAAGAGGATTCAGGTCTGTCATTAAATGTGCTTCTGCTTAGTTAAATCTTGCAATTATGTGGTTTTTCATTTGTCATTTCAGGACACTTACAGCGGATTAATAGGCACACTTGTTGTGTGTCATAGGCATTATCTGCCATCATTTCATACTAAAAAGAAAGTTCAATTTGCTCTTCTTTTTATGGTTTTCGATGAAAATGAATCGTGGTACTTGGATGAAAACATTAAAACCTATTCTGCCAACCCACATCTTGTTGACAAAGAGGATGAGGACTTCCTTGAAAGTAATAAAATGCATGGTATGTTTCCCAATTCAGTTAATATAACTCTGGGAACTCCATAAAATTGTATATTTGAAAGTAGTTCACATAAATTTGACTTCCTCACTGCCCCCGAATTTACTGTTCCAGTGCAGAAGGCCTGAAAAATTTTACTCAAACTGTTTGAAAACACTGTTAATGCCACCGAATGACTTTTTTTCCCCACAGATTAAAGAAAAAAACCCCAAACAAATTCCCCCTCCCCTCCAGATATTCCCATGTTGAAGTGTTTTGGTATCAGCAAACAACTGTTCTGAATAAGCTGGAAAGGCTATGTGCATCCTGAAAGCATGTCCTGGTAAAGCTTACCCCTTAAAAAGAGCTGTGGGAATTACATATCTTTAAGAACTGCAAAATTACCAATGGTGTACAGCAAAGAAATTTTATTTACCATGTTATTCTTTCTAGATAAATATGGAATATAAACACACGTTTATAATGTGCTGTCCAAAGCCATTACTTTTGTCTGGCACTTGCTTTCAAATCTTGTATTACATGAAAGTTTAGAGATCAACAATGCACACAATTTATTTTCTCTGTCTTGTTCTTTCCTTCTGTTTAGCCATTAATGGAAAGGTGTTTGGAAATTTGCATGGCCTGACTATGCATGTTGGAGATAAAGTCAGCTGGTATCTGGTGGGAATGGGCAATGAGATAGACATTCACACAGCACACTTCCATGGCCACAGCTTTGACTACAAGGTATCAAGTCCTTTTCATTTATTTCTTGCTGTGTTAAGAACGAGAGGTAGGTCAATTACCAAGGACTGTAATCTATCGTGAAAAGTCACGTTACAATATTAAGCAGGGCTTGTAATTTGACTGTAAGGTTTTTATGCCTCAAACCTTTATTTGGTCAACATACATGAGCCAGAGAATATCTGCCAGTAGCATTTCCTGACTGGTAACCTCACAAGCTGCTTTAACATGTCAGCTGTGAACTTCTCGTGACTGTTGCTGTGACAAAAGCTGTAGTTGTCCTTCATTTTTGTTTAGCTGATAGATTATTAAACTCTGGAGCATGAAATGGATGTACAAAAGTGATGCTTCAGTAGAAATGACACACAGGTGTCTTTTCATTCAACTGTGATTGAAATGTTTGGTGAGTAAATGGATAAAGCTTAAATTACTGCCACCTGGTAATGCCACCGTTTAACTGTTGCTTGTGTTTGTCATGAAGCAAACAGGGATTTACCGGGCAGATGTCTTTGACCTGTTCCCTGGGACATTTCAAACTGTGGAAATGACTCCACAGAACCCTGGAACCTGGCTGTTACACTGTCACGTTACTGACCACATCCACGCAGGCATGGAAGCAACCTACACTGTGCTCCCAAAGGAAGGTAAGAGCTCTCGAGCTCCGTAATGGTCATGATGTTTAAAGGTGCACACTGGGGCTCACAGACACTCCAGTGTACTCAGAACCAGTGCAGACATCCAGAGATATTCCATGTCTAGAAGCTACTTGGTCATACTTCCCTCAAGGCTGCTCAGGAGACCAAAGTAACTAAAGGACTGGATGTTAACTGGTTATTGCTTCAGCTTCCCATCCATGTAAAGTGACAGGTTTTTATTTAAAAAGAATTCTTCATGAGACAGTATTTCTGTACCCAAGAATTGCCAGTCAGACTCCATCTCAATCTTCATTTAAAACAATAAGAACAGTTGGTAAATAAAGCTGAATTCATCATTCCTACACAGCTGAAGTACTGAAAAATTAAAACAGTGTTTTCTTTCTCAAGAACATGTTTTAGCTTTACAGACACTATTACCTTGCTCTAGCAATATTACCTGTAAAAAATCTTGAATCTTGAGGAATTTTGAAAGCTCTTGTTTCTACAAAGTTAATACAACTTTAAAAGCGACTCTTTCCAGTACTCAAAAGACAGAGCATAACAGGTATTCCTTGTAATTGACAGAAATAGAATAATAGGAATATTTCAAAATATGTGTATGTATATGCATATATATATATATACATATAACTATATGATGTTTATTTGTATCTGTACTAAAAATACAGACTGGAATGTTAAACAGAATCTAATTCTATTTTATAAACCACTGGCATGTAAAACACAATCTAGTTCTATTTTATAAACCCTACTGATTTACAGAGTACATTGTGCCAAACCTGCACAGACAATAAGAAGGCTGATTTGAGAGTACACAGAAAGAGATGCAGAAAGAGATTTTAACTTGTAGCAGCAGTAGGTTGGATTTTTCATTATTAGCCATCTAAAGAGCATCAAAATGTACCCTTCAGTGCATCTTAAAGCTGTTTTTAAATCTAACTCACAATGTCCAGAAGGTACTGGGATCCACTGTGCTCATTTTGGACTCTGCTGGCCACATGCACAGACTGTTCTTTTGATGAAATGCATGTAAAAAAAGCTATTTTCCCCCTTACAGATAAACGGTCTTTGTTCCCAAGATTATTCAATCAGTCCAAGTGTAAAGGCATGGCAGGCACACAAGAATGATGAAAGCATTTTAACACAGTGGTTCTCCAAGGTCTGTCTTCAGTGAACATTCTTGGAATATATTCTCTTCTGATCAACTCATCTCCACGTATGTTTTGGAAAATTTCATGTAGTGGCCACAGGTACCAAAAGGGCCATAGACTAAGACAGCTGAATGGATATGACAGCTCATAAATATATTTTTCTCTAAATAAAAGTTGTATCTCGCAAGCTAAACATATTCTAGCTGGTGCCTAATGCGTGTTATTTAACAGCTGAGGAACACGGAAGGGCCTAATGAAATGTACCTTTTTTTAAAGTTTGAAAATAACTCTGTGTAACAGCAAAATTTGTTTTGCGTATCTGCCATCACACTGTCACATTTTACTAGACAGATATGGTAGCAGTTATTACTTAGAAAACAGCAATTTGGTTATCACTTTATCCATAAGTTGACACTGAAAATATATATAGTATTGTATAATTGAGCAGTTAACAAAATAGTTCTGTTATTTCTGTTGAATTATTTTATAATTTTATCCAGTAACACCTTTCAAGATGATTGGTACATTTAAAAGATGTGATGACTGAGGGATCATGGTTGCATAAGATGTTTTTCTTTTTCTGTTATGAAAATAATTCTAAGGCAGACAAAACTATGCTGCAATAAGCCTGATGAAATGAGAAGGGCAAAATTTGTTGATGTCTATACTAAAGAGCTTTGCTCTGACAACTCTGAAGTAACTCCTGTAGTGGAATCCCTTTGCTGTTAGTTACGTAGTGCAGCCCTTGGCAAAGGTAAAAGGAAGTGTTTCCTGACAGATGGAAGCAGCAGTATCAGTGCTTGATACTGGTGATGCTGGTCAAAAATGAAAGCAGTAAGAGCAGATATGGTCGTGCCATCCAGTTGTTTCAAAAGCCCAGCTCCACTCACGTTAGGCCTCTATCTGACAAGAGGGAAGGATGTATGGGATGGGCAGGCAAAGCAAAACATCTGGGTTTACACCTATCAGAACAAAGTTGCTTCTCTGTAACAAACCTAAATTGTTTTGGCCTTTTTTTAAGGTGTAAGGTTATCCTGAAACCAGCGTAACACCTACCAGTAAATTAATAATTGATTTTCGTGGTAGCAGGAATGCTACGTGGGTAACAAACTACTTTCAATTTATCTTTTTTTTGTTAATGTATTTTAGCTGAAATATGGATGATCTCTTCTGCCTGACTTCTACAGGTTTAAGTAACATTACAACTTCAGTGAAAACAGATTTAATAGAGTCAGTGTCAGCTAATTAGGTCTTTAGATGATTTATATGGTTATGGGATCATGGGAATCATTGTATTTTTGGTAGATTTTTCAAAAAACCCAAACGACATTCATAAGAAAGTCATAAACATTGTGACAGTTTATTATGACTGAATTCCAGCTCTGAAGGAACAGAAGTCTGCTTTCTGTTCACAAGACAGACATCAGTATATACATGCACAAGTACCCCAGATGCTTACCAAACCACTAGAAGAAATAAAAGTTTTCGGCTGGATTTATGGCCTAGTGATACTTCAAATACTTTTCTACTAACTGAAGACAACAGAAGAAAGAAAACTAAAACCAGCAAGCAAGCAGTAGTCTCTATCTTCCACCTCTGTTTCTCCTGGATTTATGGCCTCTTCTTGTGAATTGCTAAATGAAAACATTTTCAGTGTAACACTCGCATGGGTATGTCCTTAGGATGACAGAGCAGCTGACTGATTTTGCCAGCTGGAATTCAAGGGAATGAATTCCAGCATTGCAAAATGAAGGCAGTAGGGCCCAATTCCACTTGGAAGAGTAAGGTACTTACTTTTACTCATACAGGTAGACACATGCCTGAGCCTGAACTCCCTAGGTCAGTGATCCAACTAATACAGATTTGAGACTGACTTCCTGCTTTACTTTCAGTGAACACCGTATGTCCAGTTGTACTGTACAGTATTTTCCAGTTGCCTTGTCACCATGGTTAGCTTCAAAACAGTTACTTTACCTCAGATGACAGTTGTCCTTCAGTAGTTGATGTAAGATTTCAATGAAGAAGTAAGATGATTTATGTGAGGGCAGTCCCACAGTACCTTTTATGCAGCTCTGCTGTTTGTTTCATTTGCTTCTTTGTTTCGTTTGCTTTTTTATTCCAGCACATTCTTTGTATTTGAGTGGATAGTAGACTTCATTGTTTTAGGTCAGCAGCTTCCTCTGGCTGCAGTGAAGAACATGTGGCAGGAAAAATGCTGCAGTTCCATCCTCTGGTAGAAGACTGACAAAATCCCTTAGTTCCAATTCCATTGCAACAACTGATAAAGTTTCTGCTCGGAGCAGGGGGGAAAAATCTTATTTAGGTATTTTGAGTTTAGAACAAAGAAACAAAAAAAGTCATCAACAATGTAATTATGAACTGAAGTCATCAAATTATCTAAATATTGCAAGTGGAATGAAATTTGAGACATACCCGTTTGGATACAAATACAACTATAGGAAATCTCAAAAGTGAACTGAAATTCTGACTTAAATTAAAACCATACCTCTGTCTTGACTCATCAAGTCTACACATGGCACTAATGCTAATGAATGTCTGATCTAGTACTTCACATGTTTTGTATGAAATGCAAAGGAAGCCCTGGAAATCTTTTTAGTACCCTAACTCAGCACTATCTGTAAAACTGGATGTTTTGCAAGCAGCTTCTCAGACCAAGCTGTTTAATATGTTCTTAAGCGATTACAGGACAGTTATTGCATGAAAAAAATTCCAAAGAAAAACTGCTGGCACCAGAAACTAGAACTTTATGATAGAGCACGGCAACCCGTGCAGCACAATGCAACCCCTTGATGCTGTTTTTCTCAGGCATTCCATTGGCATACTTTTAACAATGTATGTGCTTTATTCAACATGCTTAATTTGTCAAAACAAACACACTGGCCCCTCAGCTATACACAGTATTATTAACTTCCTACAAACCTGTAACAATAGGACTACATAACTACTAAGGTGGATTTCTCTACTTCTAGTAATAACACACTGTGGTTTTTTCAGTCTATGACCTAATCATCAATACATACTTAAGCCTCCCCTGTGTTAACAGCCTGTTACCTAAGAACGATATAATCACTTAGCCTAGAAAAAACAAGAAACAATCACAGATGGCTCTGTTTAGTAAGGTTTTTTACTGGTGTCTATTCTTGATCCATACAGAAACAGTATGATTACAACAAGTAACTGCTTTCCATACAAAAGGAATGCCGTGATTTTTATCTGAGGGTACAGTGCATACATTGCACAATCTCTTGCTAATGACCAGAAAGACTGCTAAACTGTATTGGCTTTAGCTGGAGAAAAAGGTCCCCTTTTCTTCCAAATTACCACATCAGTTGTCCTTAGTCTGAACAGTTATTAAGACTGTTAGCTGACATACAAAGGCTTCTGGAGTTGAGTTGCAAACAACGGATTTACCTTTGAGTGCTGAAATGAGAACAGGGCAGTCATTTCCCATAAGTCTAGTTCTCTTGCAAAGTTCAGGAAGCAGCTTGTTCCACCACAGAGCCTAAATCCACAAAAATCCACAGCAAAAGTATAAATCAACAAGGACTGCAATTAAGAGTATGAAAGAGCTGCTAAAAATACAGATCAGTCACGATGAACTTAATGCCAGGAATGCAGTGATTTTGCATATATTGTATTTTTCCATCTTAAGTGCAACCTTTTTCTGCTCAAAAATCTTCACACAGTGCCCTTTATACCTCTATAGACAAAAGTTTAGAAGACAAAAGTCACTGGCAAGACCGATGCAGTCAGAGAATTTATTTTTTTCCCTCTGAACAGCTCCAGGCAAAGTGGTAAACAGCATTACTATAAGAACATTGCTCTGTCTCCTGACCTCATCTGTCTACTCCCAACAGCTATAGCAGTGAATAAGGTTTTGTGTACAATTTTGTTGATAAGAATACAGTGAAGAGAAGGGATTTCTTTCCTCCTTTGAACTTGGTAACTTTTCTTTCACTTGCTCTCAGATTCAGTACTGCAACCTCACATTCAAATCTAATGTGGAAACAATCAAAGAACCTGCTTTCAGATCTGAATAAAAAGTTCAGATCTAGTTTTAAACAGAGTTCTAGTACATCCATCTAGTAGAGGATCACCTTTACTGACTCTGGTCAGTAAAGCTGTGTACAATTAATTGAGCAGCTGTGATTGGCAATGGAAGTAAACTCCTGTACTCCTAGAACACTGGAATAATACCAATTCCAACATTAAAACTGTATAGAAGCCTAACAGGAAAATGGGACATAAAGACATAATCGTTCCACTAGTGCATCAGTACCAGTCTGATGTTATAAGGTCAGAAGATGTCACTAGAACACAGGAAGAGCATCATTTAAGTGTGATTTTCTTTGAAGGACCATGTTCTCCTATCAGTTAGCTTATCAGTAAGATTTCACCTATAAGCACTGCCAATTTAGAACACCAATTAGTGAGAAACAAGGTAGTTTTTCATTTACAGTGGAAAAAACCATATTACTCTCCCTTTTCTGAGACAGTCTGCCATTTGAAAAGACTGTGCTTTAAATTTACTATAATGAATACAGTAAGTGACAGAAGAAAGTGGAGGAAAAAATACTCCACTAAAATCAGCAGGGACTGAGTTAACAAATTAAAACACCAAGCAAGAGGTTCAATGCGAGCTAAGCCATTTACTTTGTCTGAAAGCTGGGCTGTGATCCATCCAGAGTCCATCTGTCCACAACAGCATTTTAGTTAGGAAAAAACCCCAAAAGACAGTGAACAACTTTACTGAAAGTAGCACACCTGCTTGTCCCCTGTGAGCTCCTGCTGAGCGTAGAGCACGGCTGCCCCAGGACACCTCGGCAGGAGCTGCTCCAGGGCCTCCTCGTGCCTGCCCAGCCGGGTACTGCAGAGCACACGGACGGCCAGGCCCACAGCGTCAGCCTCTGCCAGCGGCTCCAGGACAGGCAGAGCTGAAGCCACATTGATTGACTGACTGCATAAAAGAGACTGAAGACAAGAACAAAACGTATTGTTTGGATTTAAGATAAACTTTGCAAAAAATGCTAGCTATAACCTTAGAACGGAAGCCCTTACTTGTCAGAATAATTCTAAAATAATACTTCCCTTAATAAATGTTGCTGAAAATTGAGAAAACAAGTTTAGAGAGGATGCAAATCTAAATATCATTGTTACCAACAGATCTCCTTAGTAT